CCCCCCCCCCCTCCCTTCTGAAACCACCGATATCATTGATTGGCTACCACCGTCCGTCCCCGCTTGACTTCATTCAGGCGTCGGCTTTGTGTGTGGTTGAGGCGGTTGGCCGGGCGGGCTTGTCGGCGTTGGCCCTGCTCGATGCGTACGAGTACCTCAACCAGCACCACTACCCGTCCGACGATCACGCGAGGCTGAGGCGGTTCGCCGTGATGGCTCGGCTGCTAGAGCTGGCTGCCGCTGGCGGCGACGGTAACAAGGTGGGTTGGTGTGTTTTGTTTTGCTCTGTTTGGCATGTTTTCGAGCGGATGGGATGTTGTGTCCTGTGTGAAAGAGGGGGTAGTTGCCGACAGACGGGGAATTTGTCGTGGTAGGGCGGGACTGCATGTTTTGCGTCCGTCCATTCTGATCCTCGGTGCTCTCATGACAAGAAAAGTGTTGTTTGTGGATGGATCCATCCCGCAGCCAGTCGCGGCTTAAACGGGGTTGGTTCTACTGCTAATCCTCTGCCGAAAGACAATGTGCTCACCTCTTACCCCCCACACACCCCAACCCTGCGCGCACCGCCCCCTCTCTTTGTGGGTGTCCGCTGGCCAAAAAACTCGATTTTTTTTTCAAGTCGTGTTGTCAAAAAACTTAAAAAAATAAATAAGTCGTAGATATTATTTATCAGGATGGTATGGCCGAAAAATTCTATCTAATCCTATCGTCGATTTTTTTTTTTTCCGTCTAAACCGTGTCTGCCGGAATTGTCTTAAAGGCGGCGACGGGGGGCGTCGGGCTCGTCTCGGAGACCATCCGGCCGGAGAGGCTGGAGCGCCTGGCCCACGACACCCTTGCCGGCCTCGACTCTCTCCGCTTCTCCTCGTCCGCGGGCGCTGCCCGTGGGGATGACGCGGACAGGGATGCCGGTGCCCGCGAGCTTGTGGAAGAGGTCAGACGGAAGGTGGACAAGCTGGTACGGTCCCCTCGATTCCCGCGGAACGGCAGCAGGATTAGCAGGCCTTACTTTTGATCAGGGGTTGTTGGTGTGAGGAGTGATATTTGTATTTGTTTTGTTTTTTTCGAAGCTTGTACACCCGTTTTTTTTCGGGTTTATGGCCGTTGACTGATCACGGAATTAGGAACGGTCAGTTGGACCGTAGTTTTCTTGGTGGAAATTGGTTTTTGTGACGAGTCTCGTTGTTCATTTTGTTTCTTTGAAGTGGCGCATGTACCCGTTTTTGGGGTATTTGGCCTGTGAAAGACCACGGAAGAAGGCGCCCACGTCAGGTGGACCGGTACGGGCGTTTGGGGGACGTACTGAGCACAGACCGGGACGTTTGTTTAATGCCAAGACGAAACACAACAGCAGCAGCAGCAGTAGCAGCTGCAGCTGCACTCCTCCTGGGTAACTTGTTTGTCTGGTTGGTTGGTTGCTGTTGCCGCAGCCGCGGATGTTTTTTGTTGGCGTGTGAAGGGGAGAGTCGGCTTGAAAGGAGGGAAAAGCCATGAGCAAAAAATGTGTCTAGTTTGACCGATCGTTTTTTTCTCGCAGTTGCTGCTATGGTGTTTCTTTCACGCACCAAGGTGTCTGGCGAAATATGTTTACTCTCCTCCGTGAGTTTGCACGTTTCTTTCAGCGTGATGACCGCCGGATTTTGGTTGTGCGGCTCGAAGTCGTTGACACGTACGCATACGTATGTTCTTCCCGAGGGCGTCGCCAGATGAACTCGTAACGGACGCACGTTTTCGTCTAATTTTTTTTTTCGTGCGACGGTTCGTCCGGGTGTTATTTAGGTTCTGTGGAGGAGTGGGGGACTAGAGCATACCCATTCCCATCCGGTTGGGATGTCTGATGTTGTGCTTTAAGGCAGACGAGACGAGAGCTGCCTTCCCTTGCTTCCTCTCGCCCTCTTGCGTGCTTTGCATGATGTACCACTTGTCGTAGATTGGTCGTGTGGTTTCGTTGAGTTTGATCCGCCCCCCTCCCCCCTTAGACACGTTTGGCAAAATAGGAAGGAGCGTTTGGCCGTCGTTGATCGGTCCTCTGTGGGAACGGCGATCCTTCCCCCAGAGGACACGTGGTCAATGGTCCAACAAGTAGTGCATGTGACAGACATGAGTACGGCCCCCTCCCCTCCGTTTGCTTTGGTATCTAGTCTGCCTTTGGGGGGACGAGGACTGGACCGAGGAGATGGTTGACAGCGGGATGACTTCCATCGTCAAGAGCCGAGCAACATTGTTGCCGAAGGCCTGTAATAGTTGGTTTTATCACTTTTTCTTAGGAGGGAAGGTCGGGACTAGTGGCTTCTTCTCTCCCTCAGTGTGTGTGGTCCGTTTCTCATGTCTTGTTGGCATGTGGCTGCAATAGTCGGGCGCGGAGTCCAATCGGACGTGCCGATCGAAAGGTCTTTTTCTTTTGCGGAAGGTTCGAAAAGACACCTTGTTGTTTTTGGGGTACGCACATCCATCAGTAGTAGTAGGTGGTGAATCTATCGGCACCGGTAATAGTTAGGTGGAGAGATGACCGTTAAAAAAAAAATGGGGGCCCACCGGTTGATGGACGGACCCCTTTGTGAACAGCATACGTGCCAATAACACATTTACACTCGCTCGATATCAGTCGGGGATTGCACACCTGCGGTGGGGCCATGGGAAGTGGGTCGTATTGGGAAGGTCTTCACAAGGCTGAACCTACCGCCAGTGCTGAGACAAACATCCACACATGCCTTTGGCATTTACACAAGTTGTTATGGAAAGGTTGGCAGCCTTGGCCACTTGTCAAGGGTATCGAAGACGATATCCAAAACACACTCCTTCTGGTATCTGGCACTTTCTGCCGTCTGCTCTGCCACTCTAGTGTGCGCTCACCCTCCTCTATGGGATACAACATAGAAGTCCCTTCCTGTCTCTTGGTCGATCCTCCTTGCTTTGCTCTACACGCACCCAAACACGCACCAAGTCAAGCCGAGGAGGGGATTCATAGGGAGCTTCACATCCTTCATAACTTGTGTACGGCCGGCCATGAACGCATGCGTGTTTTGAAAGTCCTGAAACCGGACTACCACGCGTTCCGCGCACTCATGAAACTTGTTCCCAATTCCGTCTCAGGTATGAAAACCGCCCAACCAACGGCCGCCGTCTCAAGCACAAACATACACGTTCCGTATCTGCGGAAAACCGTTCCACTTCGGCGCCTCTTCCTATCTAGAAACCGAAACCGTGTCTCGTTTCTGCCACAAATATGAGCGTAAGGGCTGTGTATGAGCATTGGGGGCAGCAACTAAAATCATTCATCGCACTTACCGCCCCCAGCAAAGCACAACAAACCGTACAGCTAGTGGAGGTCTGCACCGTGGTTTTCTGTGGCGACAAGGCCCGTGAATTCCCGAAAAACTTTTGCGCCCTCGTACGGTAGTGCGGCTGAGGGTGTTCGTCACGAAAGGAAACGGATTCAGGGCGGCGGCCTACCCAAACCGCTAGGAACTCCCTCCTCGACCCAACGCCCATCGTGCATTATCGCGACAACACAAAATATCGGCCTCCGAGGTCTCCCTTTGAAAGGCAGACCGCTTCTCTAGCACCGTGTTCGACGGCAGGCAGCGGATACGATTTCGCCACCTACAACCTAAATTCCGGAAGGACAAAATGTTGTGCGAGCGAGCAGTCCAGTCCTTTCCTTTCCATGTCTGCTGTGGTGCCACCGATTCACCCCAAGTCTGCCAACGCCGGGTCTCAGCAGCAGTAGCAGCGGCAGCAGCAGCAGAGGACCTGGCAGCACGCAGGACAGGACCGCCGACAAGAAACAACAGGAAGGGTGGAGAGGCGGGCGGACCCACATGTTGCTTGAAACTTGACCACTGCTGTTGTTTTTTTTTTCCGTGTTGACTTTGTGTGCATGCCATGCTTTCCCACTTGCAGAGCAGTCGTTTTCACCTCTTAACAATTGACTGCGCGTTCCTCTCGAAACCGAGCACACCACCTGTTCATCTACTGCCCGCCGCTGACGCTGAGACCCCTTTCGCACACGCTGCTGTACTCTAAGACGGCTGGCTGCCTAGCGTAACCTACAGTACTTCGGAATAGGGTCCCCGTGCGATGCAGAAACCCCTCTGAGACCAGCCTGA